GTGTGATCGTTTGCTGATTCCATACGCCGTTGGGGATAGGACAGAGGGGTTGCGGACTCATCGATAAGCGATCGGAGCTTAGAATGCCTATCGAGTTCTCTCCGATAACGAAAGCGAAACAAATTCACGAGACCGTCGAGGCCCGGATTTTCAGTTCTCGGGCGGTTCTCGCGTAGCGGTAGCAAAACTCCCTCGATACAAGCTCAGCCTGCGACGTAACTCCGGGAAATTATTACTCTAAACATTCCGCTCGGACGCGCACCATGCTTCTCACGAAACGAGTTTAAAATCGGTCGAGCGCGCGTTCCATTACGGAAAACAAGTAAAGTCCTTTAAGTGAAAAAGTGATAAAGTGTTTGAAATGGTTTCTATCGAAATATCTCGTGTGTGTCGCTGTTGCTTGATGGTGCGTTCTATTGATTATTGAACGAGCTGAATTATATAGGAAGAACATGTGCACGAAAGTTTGGTTGAATTTACCTAGTCAAATGAAACGCATTTTAATTGACGGAAATGCGTATTGAGATAAATCAAGAATCATTTAGACTTTGGATCTTCGGGAATCCTGTATTTCAGGCACGAGAAACCAGATCAACTTCTAACCTATATATTTATTTTCAGCTCATCAAGATCTTTAATTTGAAACCCATTTCAACCATCTGTTTCACTGAATGGATTTGGAAACTATAAGCCCGTAATAATAATTGGCCGCGTTCTTTTTCTCGTTGTTTGCACAGCGTTTCTTCCTTTACCGTAATAGGAAAATATCACATGTCGAAAATACACCTTTTTATCTTCCATATTCAAGATTCAGTAACAACGCATAGACGATCTTAATCAAACATTTACCGAGTGACACGTTGAAATGTCATTTATCCAACGATATGTAGATATAATATATTTTCAATCACTTTGACAGCTTACGTAATACTCACAGAGACATCTGTTGAAACTCATACGAACTTTTTGGACCATCTAATATATTAGGTGTACAAATTAATTCGGTGCCCTTTTTTCATGAAATTTCAAGTTTATCTACAAAACATCAAGTACAAGTTTAAGTTCAAAATAATTTCCGTTATTTTCTGTGACTTTACTTCGTCTATGGGACAGCTGATAAATGCCCTCGTGGAAAAGCTTGGCGGTTTTGATTAAATAAAGTTATCGATGCTTTTTCAGACCTCGTTAACTGTTTTAAAATGCGTATCCGCCAAATGATGTTGAAGCGACCAAAATAAGTGGTAATCCGACGGCGCTAAATCTGGCGAATTAGCCGTATGAGAGAGAACTTCCCGACCCAATGTATTGATGAGGTCCTTCGTCCCTTTTGCAGTATATGGACGAGCGTTATTGTGCAGTAGAATCACCTATCTCGTTCCATTACCGGTAAAAGGTCTTTTACTGGTAATGGAATTTACAAATCTGTTTACAAGTCTTTTTACAAGTCCTATGAGTCACATTACGTTCACCCAAAGTGGAAGAAATCACTTCGGTAGACTGAGCAGCATTTTTATTCAATTGAAATACAAAAGGATGCAGTGCCTCAGATGCTTCTTTTCGAACGTCATGATAACTACTGTTTTCTGAAGTTACATCAGCAAGGCCGATATAGTGCTTCTTGAAGCTTAAGATTGGCATTTTCAAATCACCATAGAATAGGAACCAAATTTTAATTCTTGAATGAACCAAAGTTACACGACATAAAATGCAAGGGCACCGAATTAATTTGTACACCTAATATATTAAAGTAATAAATGGATACTTCCTTTCGTTTTATGCTTTTTCACAAATTGAGAAGTATATTTTGACTATGCACCGTAGAGTTTCCGAATATCGCTGCTTCACTTCACTAATCCCACGCATTTCTGCCCGTGCATCTCCGCGCACATGGGGAACTCTCGATGGCTCTTCGAGCTCGCGAGAGGTTGGCCGGAGTGCGCACCCTCGCTTTCGAGAGCGTTCGCAAATTTATGGAGTCGCTAGTAACGTAACCGGCGTAATGCGCCGCGATGGGGAATTATTACCGCTTTCGCACGGTCAAATTACTTCCCCGTCAACAAGGTGCGCCGTATCGTGTGGCGCATCGCGCGCTGATTACTCGCCGGGGCACGATCATCATTCCTTTGGTTTCCGCGCGTGCATTATGGTTGTAATAATTAGACTGTGTGCGTCAGAAATACATAATGCCACTGTATTATCGGACTATCGAGAAATGTTGGAGTATCGCAACAGCATTCACGATGCATATGCGGTATTGTTCGAGAGACAGTTGAAACTTTATATGTTATATTTATACACGGAAAGGGAATCTCAGTTTCTGCAACTGAATGAAGACCAAGTCCTTGGAACCACAGGCAAAGAAATGACTTGATCGAATATCTGAAATGACCTGAATCTCATTCGACTCGAATTTTATTATCATTGCTAAAAATTAGTTGTTAGAGATAAAATGTGTTTGCTGGGAGCAGTGTTTGCCGGTATCTAGATAAAATTATCTAAATAATCATCCACTTGAATAAATAGATCATTTTTATCTTTATCTAGATGGAAGAAATACAAAATATCTTCACCTTCATCTTAAATAAAAAAACATGTTATCTTATATAAAATTATCGAACACGATGTTATGGTCCATATTCTGAATTTACTTTTCGATAAAATGAATAAAATAATATAGACCTATGTATTAAGCTTATATCAAACTAGGAATTGGAGATTAGATTTCAACGAATCAACACATTTCGGATTTGCCCCGTTTGATCTGTTCTTTTTAGCTGCACTGCTGAATTGGTGCAACTAAAAAGAACAGACCATTTGTTTCAATTGATCAATTCATTTTAAGTCCGTATCAAACTGTCTACTGTGAAAGCCGATCCAACTGTCGATTACGACTGCCAATTTTTAATGGACCAATTACAATAGAGTAGTTACATGACGCTTCACTATGATAGACCCTTCCAGAGTCGACAGTCGTAACCACCAGTCAGATGGCGTCAACGACGTTCACGGTCAATAGTCTGATATGGACTTTACAGAAGAAGACTGAAATAATGACTGCGTTCAGAAAACACAGCGATTAAGTAGCACTACTTATCTTTCTCTCTGTTAAATTGACTGATGTATAAATATAGCAACGATAAAAAATATAACATTGAAAAAAATAGAAAATAATAATATTTTCTTATTTTTAATATTACACACACACCCACACACACACACACACACACATACACACACATAAATCTTTTTGTTCCCACGACTGAATTTCCGTCTGGTTCCCAGGCAATAGAAAAATCAGTTATTCTGACGGAGTAGTCTTTTTTTTCGTGCAGAACAATTAGAAGATAATTTTTCCCCGATGGGTATTTTATCGAGCGTCATCGCTTTCCAGCGATTTCACGCACGAATTATTTACCATCTGCCATCGATCAATTCGATTCAAAAGCGGGACACCAATCAAATGGTCGATCGTAAAAATAGCGGATTAAACATTCGATCGACTGCCGCGCGTGCTAAGCTCTAAATGTCCGATTCAAACGGCACGGTCAAAGAGGGTCACGTGAATTATTCGAGAGACGATTAGATCGACCGCAAAAGCACGCTTTGCGGTATTATCCATGGAGAATACGAAATACGCGCATAACTGGCATAAGGGAGATACAACTGATAGTCCTTTAATATGCAAAGTGACCGGCGTACAATGCACGGCGAATTACAAAAAAACGACACGCAGTTCAATATTGTTCCATTACACCATAATAATTGTCGCTTCTCTACAGTACGTTATAAAACTTTACGTTAACGTTTATGCGCGATCACAACGTTGCAAATTCATATTGCAAGGAACTTTGTTTTGAACAGATCTTCGGTTGTTTAGATAAAATTATCCAATTAATGAAAGAATGAATAGGGACAATAAAAGTCAAAGCACGGATTTTTTAGCGTCATTAATTTAATCAAAGTAATTTTACGTTATAACGAACTTTTCTCGATATCTCAAGTGTTGCAGCAATATTCTTGCTATGTTACATTATAATATTGGCAATGGAAAAGCAATATTACTGCGATATTTCTGTGCTATGTGCATTCTTATTTATATATGAAAAGTGTAAATATTTAAATTTTCATATATTTTAATCATTTTTAATTATAATAAAACCTAGCAAAAATCTTGGAAAAAATAGTCGGGAGACAGCAAATGGAATCTGTTTAGGTTTCTCATGTATGAATTCGCGTGCCTGTAACGTTACAACATTTCTATATAGAAATAGAATCTACGTAGATTTTCCAATTAAAGGCCACAATTTTTTCGGAAAGTCAGATTCGATCTCAATTGGAACTCAAAGAAGTATTCTTTACCTAAAGACCCTATTTATTGACAATATAGAGTTGGCATATATAGAATCAAAGCTCTCAAAGTCAATTAAATTAATACGCCTTAACGTAATACGGTCAACCATTAAACAGTTTCCACGTGGGACTCGTTGCAAAAAAAAGCGCAATTCCTACGAAATTTCCGATACAAAAATTTCCAGTGTCATCGTTTACGCGCTTCTCCGTAAAAGTCGATATTTGAACGCGCAACCGGGAGACACCGTTATTACAACGTTGTTCCGGTAAAACGCTCGAGAGCGAGAGCGCACGAGAGAGAGAGAGAGAGAAGGGAGGGACACTCTGACGTGAAATATTCGCGTGACGATTAGATCGCGCGAGGCGCGCTTTGTCTCGCGTTAACGGCCACAGGCCGCGGGACTTATCCGTCCGTGCGCAACGCGAGAAGGCGGTTGGAACGACCACGGGACCGGCGGGGGGTGGGAGAGGGATGCGAGCTGGACGAGCACAGCTCGCCGCCGCTTGCGCCGAGACTCACGCACGCGATGTATCTCTCTCTCTCTCTCTCTCCGACGAGAGCCGAGAGCGGAAGTAATCGTTTTAACGCGCAATGGCAGCGATCGTTAAGTACCGCGGGCCTGGCGTTACGTCAGTCGGCGATCGCACGCGCGCGCGCGCGCGCGCGAGCAAATGAACGAGCGAGCGAGCGAGCGAGGACTACCTACGTATTTCGATGGCTACGCCTCGACACATCGGACCCCAACCCACGCACCCATTGTCTTCCCTTTCGGAGACAGACGGCGCGTGACGTAAGGACGAAGGACGGAGGGGGAGAAAGAGAGAGAGAGAGAGAGAGAGAGCCGAAGGTACGTATCCAGCGGATACATTTCATCGGGAGGAAGAATTTGCTTGGAAATTATAGGCAGATATACGCGGATACACGTAGGACGGCCGATCGCGGAGGTATATCAAGATCTAACGTCGGGACGACGCGAACGACTCCGAGCGAGCGGGGCGGGAAAAGCGGGGAAAGACGGTGAGAAAATAAAACGGCCGCTCGATGATAAATCGAGGCGCGGCCCCGGTATCGCGGTATCACGGTATTGTAAAACAATGTTCGTTCGAGATGCGGCGAAACGTGGCCGCTCTCTGTCTCGTGGTAGCGAGAGCCTGCCCATCGTAGTAGTAGTAACCTTGATCGTGGATCATAAATCCCGCACGGCACGGCGAACGGCAGGGATCATTGTACGAGTTAACGCGCGGGCTCTCCCCGATGCCTCCTCAATCTCAGCGAGACTTTTAGTGCCGCGAATACGGTGTTTGTCGGCACGTATATTAGTCCCTGCGAACCGAGTCATCCTGTCTTACGTCGTTGAATTATAATCATAGTAGGATCGTGTGAGATCGCATACACTGTTAATCGTGTATCGGCAGAAATTGGAGGCACACGAGTTGGAATGTAAACCTTATGTAATTATAAGGGACATTAGGGCCCTCCCTGCCTCGAATTCAGGAGGTCTTCATGGGAGAAGATACGATGAGATAATCGGAGGTACGTTGATCGATTTCCAGTGTTGCAAAATAATGGAAATAATAATGGAAATAAGGTTGGAAATCAGGGTCGCCGGGATGTTCGTTTGTACCCTGCAGAGGTCCGCTTTTAATTTCATAAATGTTTCCACATTTCAAGCGTCTTACCTACGCTTACCTCGTATCTATGTATACGAGGTATACACAGGAAGCCTTGTACCTTTTAAACCAAAGTATTTTTACTATATTGTAGAAACATGTCTAAAACGTTGCACTTGAAACATTGTATTTACGATATTGCAAAAATATTGTAAATGCAATTCAATGGTTTCGTAACTTTCGAATCTTTCGCCAACATTTTAGCAGTACTGCAATATATAATTGTACATATAATGTTGCAGATAGATATGAAAAATATTCCTGATGTAATATTGCAGTTGATATGTTGCTGAAATATTTTTGTACCATAATCGAAGGTTACGTTTTAGTTATATAAACATGTCAAGTGTGAGGATTGTCGTCACAGCGGTTGGACTCATTACTCGTCCACCGATTATCGAAGTTAAATAACGGTGACCGCGTACTAGGAGTGGATGTGTGACCGGCTGGCTGCTGTTCGAGATATCGACACCACGCAAAGATGCGAAAAATGTGAAACGAAGTATAAAACAATTTCTACGATTGTCGGAAAATTGTCAGGACTATTTATCCCCTTTATTCAACGATGTTTTCAAAATTTGTTAATAATTGTTAACAAATATTACTAATTGTTTTATCATACAAATTTTTTTTAATAATTTTATTTAACTGTTATATTTTCCATAATATAGGATACTGAAATGTGTAAATAATATTAATGCATAACTCGTGAATGTTACAGAGTAGATTTCCGTAACATTTCTGAAACGTGCCAGTAATATATTTGAAATGTGTCTGTAATGTCACTGAAACATTGCTGAGACAGAAATCTTGTATTGTTATTATCGCGGACATTTAAACATTGCAGAAATATTACAGAAACTGGCATGAAATATTGCAACAACTTTACTGAAAAGTATAATATTTCTGTTCAAACATTGTGGAAACATTGCTGATATGTTAAATGCCAAGTGGGAATCCACGATTTTCTTTGATTAGGGTTGTCATAGAAGACCGACTTTTCGTCACAATTTTGTACAAAAAATCCTTCATTATACGCAATGTCCTTGTTAACAAGGACACATCGCCGTATCAGATCTTCGCTGTTTATTCTCCAAGTTGAACTCATGTGGAACTCATCGGCCTTCCTTGCAAATTTTCCTCAGCTTGTGTAAACGAATGGAAATTGACTGGCGGGTTACTCCAAGTTGCAGCAGCAAGTTTATATTGAGTTTGTACCGAGTTTTCAATAATTGCTCCAGATGTTTGTCGGCAAACTTTGTTGATACGCCGATACATTCTTTGGTCGGTAAGGTCGAAACCACCGTTCCAAAATTTTTCAAACCATTTTCAAAATTTTACAGCAATTGTAACAGCATTTCCCTCCCCAAAACTGTGCCCACCATTTCTATAAATTCAGCGGCATTTCTTTTAATCAAAAAGCGAAAAGAACGCAATGTCAAATATGCTGTTTGTCGCACGTCGTATTTGATACTATCTTCGAGGTTATGTTGCTCGCATTACCAAACTATAGAGCTCATTTTAAACTTAAAGATTGGCACTTCAAAAGCCACCGCATACAAGCGGCGAGAAAATATTTGAATTTAAACCGGAGTTACGATTGATTAAACATAATGGCACCGAACTTATTTGCACACCAAGATATCACAGCAATATTAAAATCTCCACCAAATGAATCACAATAATATATCCCAATTAGATTCTAGGAAATTTTCTATGCGGGGAAAAACCTAAGAAGAAGAGATCAAGGGGAGTTTCGGCACGTGAACAGTGTCAATGTTGCGATAACGAGGCACCCACACGACCTCGATGCGCACGCGGGTTCGAGGAGCGCGGGACCGCGCGAGGCGATGCGAGAGGCAGGGCGGGACGAGGCGAATCGTATTCCGCGGGTCTCACGGCTCAGCCTCGACGTGAATCATGCCAGTTCCGGTCCGACCCACGCGTGCGTGTCCCTGAAACGGCCGGTCTCGCGCTTGTCTCGACGCATCCCTCCGGTCCGAGCGCTCGTCTCGATTACCACAGCCACAAACGGCAGGAATTTCATCGGAAACGAATTTCTCACGCTTCCTCAGCGACGCGGCCCGCTGCTCACGGCGCGTTTTTCGTCAGCTGTGCTAACGCGATAAGAGCGATAAGCGCCGGTTCCGTCATCACTCGCCAGGCCGCGTTCGTCATTTTAAATACCCGCGTGTCTGGTTGCCCTCGATGTACTCGGCTGACCGCCAGCGTGTTGCTGAAATTTCCTCGTGATGTATCAATTATCTGCGTTTGTTGTACAACGCGTCGACTTAACTTCGCTACGCAGCATCCGTCTGTCCGCCTGCCTGTGTTGGTGGTATTTTGGGGTCGACTGTGTATCGTCGACTCTTCTCACCTCTACCTTCATCTCGCGTGAATAAATACGCGCGATTGGCTAGATGTACAAAGTGAATGTCCATACGCCGAATTGAAATTTTAACGTCACTTTCATGCTCTTCAAAGACAGTTTGCGTTTACTCAGTTCGCGTGTAGTAAAAACCTACACTTAGAGAAATAACTTAGTAGTGATAATTAAATCTCAAACCCAACATATCTATAACAAGAGATAATTTGTTTATCATTGATGTAGAAAATTTAATTAATATTTCCTATGCTATTAGAGTAGGCGATTATATACGTAGGCAACCTAATTTTTTTGTATTTTGCTTGAAAATTAAAAACAAAATAAATGTCTTGTAAGTAGTAAACTATGAAGATTCATTTCTTTAAGTCAAATAAACATATTTTCAATCTAAGAACATTTTTTTCTGGAATATTTCCTTCAAATAAAGCACACATTATTTTACATTAAGAAAATATTTATTTATTATACTTTCCCTTTATTCTAAATACATTTATTCATAGATTGGAATAAATAATTGTTTTAACCGTATTTGAAAAAATCATTCTTTTAGTTCAAATAAAATTTGTTTGAATCTACTGTATTTTTCTCTCAATGTGCAGATAGAACGGAAACGGTACGTATCATCCACGCCTCGGTCTCGTAAGCGTCGTTTAATCGCAACCTACGTGACTAATGGGAATCAAGACGTTAGTTTCGATATGAGACACGAAATAGACGCACTTTCCGCCGTCGAGCAAAACGAGCAAGGCTCGCGTATCTCTCTGTTCCCTCGCATCATGCCGAGTGAATGACAGTGTACGTACGAACGCGACTCGGCAATTTTACGGCGACTGACTGTTAACCTTTGACTTTTTAGCGCGGCCACCGCTATCGGTTGATACCTCGATCGAACTTCCGGCGACCCGTATCTCTCGTTTGTCTCGCACGAGACGAACGATCGCGCTCCGATCGTTATCAAATGCGAATCACAATTTCAATGCGCCGATTCTCGGCGTATGTGCATTTGAAAAAAGATTGGTTATACTTATTAAATGCATTTAGTTAGAGATTCCGACAGAATATTCGGTAACTGTTATGAAATTTGATATTAAATAATTACCAAGTATTTAATTGGCCTGCAGTACGAACGACTTTTATTCAGAGTTGAATCAACTAAATAAAATAGCAGTTGCTGCCAAATATTTAACATCTGTTATTAAATGTTTAATCATTATTACTAGATATTTGATAAGTATTACGAAATCATTCACTTTCATTCTTATAAAATATTTATATTCTTATAAAATATTTATATATAACTGTTAGTAAATATTTATGGTCCCTCTCTCCCTCTCTCTCTCTCTCTTTCTCCTTTTCTCTCTCTTCCTTTTACCCACTCACTCTTACTCTCTTTCTCTTTCTCCATATAAGGATCACATAAGGACATTATAAACACGAGATATAAAGACATGATTGGAGCTTGTAGGATTTGTCGGTTTCTGTCTGATCACTGAAGTAAAACGGAGCGCGGTCAGCCGATGGATAATCATTACGAGATCGAAACTACGGAGGATTTTTTCACATATGAAATGAAAAAAATACATCAAAATGAATGTCAAGTTATCTTAAAATAATTTACATAGATAAATTTTTTTTAATTAAATGATGATAATTACCTAAAACAATTTTCCTTAAGGACTGTATGTTTAGTAATAGTTACCAAATATATCTCATTTCTTGCTATCAAGATTTGTTATTAATTACCAAAATTTAGTTTAATGATCTAAATGTACAGTTCAAGCAACTAAATCT